TTTGCTATGTCTGATCTTATCTGACATCAGTGTGGGACTTCCTGCTAAGTCCATAGAGCATGGTTGGGCTTTCTTTGGTCTACCCCGGAGTTCCAGACAGATTTGGAGCAATGACATCTTCCTACAGAAAACCACGTGGCAGCCCTGTAAAATTGAAAAACAGTAGCCTGTTGCTGAAGAGCCAAAGGGGCACAGATCTAGAAGTGTGCCTTTATAGGAAAGGGTAAACCTGATCTTTAAGAACATAAGGTCGGATGATGTTCTATCTGAGCCATAGTGGAACAAAAAGTTGGTTCACCCTTATGGGAACCATCAGAAATTACAAAGAGAAAGTCAGTCTTTCTGAAGGAAGCAGTAGCTGTAGATAAACTCTTACAGCCCGAACTACTTTCAGTCAATGAAAGATGATCTCCTTTGGATGAACTGAAGCTGGACAAAAGAATGATATCCTGGTTGAGGTGAAAGGCTGAAACTACATTAGTTAGTAAGGAAGTTCAGCGCCAAATACTTTTTTTTTTTTGTACAGAAATAAAACATTACCTAAATCCAGAAATTGCTTTCTGGATAATTGTCTCTTCCATGCTCTTGTCAAACACATAGGAGAGTGCTGCAATAGTTGGTCCCCAAGTCATTGTGAAGAGATCATGATCATAGCTTCCTGGGGTAACATGCAGGAAAATGCCTTCTGGGGTGGCACCTCTGTGCAGCAGTACATTCCACATGTAGTTCTCCTTTACTAGTCCTGTCTGCTCTTCTGGCATAACGATTTCATCATTTCTAGAGAAAAAGATTAGCTAGCTAATGACTATATTCAATTCAATAAAGCAGCTTAGCATACAATATAGATTTTCCTTTAAAAATTGCATTTTTTTTTCATCACATCAACTGTCCAATAGAAAACATCTATCTTTGCAAAGCCTTAGCTCAGTATTCCATGAAGCAAGATTTAAGATGGGACAGTGCTGAATATTGCCTACAGTAGGGACCTGACTTAGGCAAAAGTTTGCTAATTAAACTTTGTTTTTTCCTACCATGTCTGTTGTGACAAGTTAGAAAAACAAATGTAACACATGAATTGTTTCACAATACAGTAGCGGCAGATCACCAACAATTTTCTTCTCACACCAGGCTTGGTAAGCTCGTGCTGAAGTGCAGAAGTGTGTGCATCACCCACAAGACATTCCGAGACTGACCTCCTTTAAGCTTCTAGCATGAAAAGGAGAAATGAAAGCAAAGGAGTGCCAGAGATCACATCCTGTCTCCTGAGCATGGTAATCCCCCGGATCTTTGAAGTCTGTGGTGTTGGATTTACTGAGCAGACTGGATTTCTGAGCAGTTCTTAAGCTCTAACTGCCTACAAACAGCTGCAAACATTAAAGGCAGCCCAGCTTCTTAACAGCTAGACAAGGTGCAATGACGACAGCACAATGCTAACAGAAACCTGATCAACTGCTTATGTGGCCTGCAAAGTCAAATGAAAAAAGGAAATAAACAGAATATCAAATATTACTGTATAAGAAGCTAGTAATACCCTGAGCCTCAGGTTCAAGTGATACAATTTCTTTACAACAAAAGTTTTTTTGGAATCTAGCACAGAACAATCATTTCTGCCGCATGTCATTTTACAGCTTTGTACTAAAATTTCACTATATACATTTCTTTTCTTTTCCAGCAAAAGCCACTACAGTAAACTTTCTTTAAGAAGATTATTTTACAAAACGCCAGATTATGGCAAGTATAGTTATGGCCATACACTCAGCGTTTCTTCTCATTCAGTCTCATGGCATGGATAAGATAAAACACTCGGTTCCCCCACCCCACCAAACAGTCTGGATGAGGAAGTCTTCTCTGCTGGCTATTGTATTTTAACAGCTGACACTTGCCGCTGTTAGATTACAGGAACAGTGACTGCAGCTGATTGTCACTGTTCAACCAACAATTTTTGACCTGGCTCCTTTGAGAAAGAATGATTGAAAAAAAACAGGCTTGGACAAATTCAAGCAGTGTATGGCCAGCTTAAATCTGTCTCCTGTACATACAAAAAATACTGAGCAAAATGTTATAACACACAATACAGAAGCCACCTGTTCAACTTTCAAGAAATAAATACAAGCAGAGTGGCATATTGTCATACAACTACTTACTTGATTGCATGGTACATATCTTCAAGCATATCCTGATCAAAATCTTTCCCACCGTTGACTCCCTTTAAATTTTTCCTGAACTCCTGAGGAATAAAGAAGAAAGAGTTACTGTACCAAAGAGCTTGTAAATTTAAGATAATTATATCCATAAAGAAGTGTCCAAAGTTTACAAGTTTTTTAGACTGACTACTGATCCTACAGACATAATCTGGTGTTTTGACACACTGCCTATGGGAAATCTGAATGAAATAAAATATCCAAATCCTTAACAAAGCACAGAGGTGTTCTAAGCCCTCTTCTGCTTGGGGGAGAGGCTTAGAGTACCTTGAGCACTATACAAAATTGGCAACCATCAGTACAATGCGAAACATGCCTTATGCCTGTGCTGTTTTTGACTACAAAGCCTCTCGCGACCATATTCACTGTATGGTTCACCTATTTAAGAAAATCTCAGCTTTGATAAAGCAAACATATTTTTCTAAGTAAATTCTCAAACAAAAGGAGCTTAAAAATACTCTTACCAGACACTTAAATGCCACATTCACATTACCAGCTGCTTGATAGCGAAACGTAGAGCTTCTGAACTTTTCACTGACACATTTGTAATAAATTAGGACGGCCTGTTTTCATTCAAAGGGGTTTGGATGGAAAAATGGAATTACAGAATCTCTGGCCTGATCTTACCTCCAGAGTCATTGGAACATTCTGCTTACGAACATTGTTATTGTGTTGGTCAGTATTCAGCATGATGACAGCATAGGCCAAAGCAAAGCAGCCATCACTATTGGCAAATGGAGTCCCATTGGATTTCTGAGGGGAATGCAAACATTTGAATCTTTATTTATACAATAGTATAGCACACACCACTATAGATCATTGTTAATTCAATCATACAATTAGTATTTGTTAAGAGTATATTAAACAATGGGGGGGTGTACTCATTAACATCCAGAAAAGTATTATGTCAGCTCCAGGGTTTCCATAAACATCATAGAAAAAAGTGGCCCCCCTTGGCAAAACGGAAATCCCTGGATAGAGCTAACTAATTAATATACTATAACATATAATAGCTTTATAAATTGTTTTAATTGAGAAAAATATTTAAACACATAAATAACACATGACAAACATTTAAAATCTTGAAATTCATGAAGGCTTTCCTGCATCAGCTAGGTAAGCATGTAGAGAGTGGCAAGATTTGTTATAATTACCCCTCATAAATTGCGAGCAGTCAATGTGGGATGAGATATTTGAAAATATCAAGTGTGGATGAATCTCTGATTTTAGGAAATGTTAATTCCAAAAGGTATATTTCCATATAGCCAGGGCTCGAAAAATCAGTTCGTCTGCTCGTCTGTGACGAGCAGACAGTGGAGCCCGACGAGCAGCTTCCTGGCCGGCCGTTGTAATTACACGGCCGACCGGGAGCTTTACAGTCAAGCGACGCTCGATCGCTTGTATCAGAAGCTGTCACTACCGTTGCCGGTCCCGATGCGGCTGGGAGCGGCACGGCTCTGTGACAGGAGATCAAAGGGAGTTCAGTACATTCTCAGTCCCCGAATATAATGCAGAGCTGTGCAGGGAGCTCCAGACACGCTGTCAATAAGGGAGCTTGGAAGCCCCTAAGGGACAGCGTGTCATGGAAGCCCCTAAGGGACAGCGTGTCTGGAGCTCCATGCACAGCTCTGCATTATGTGCCGTACTTGTGGCGTATGAACAGCCTGATATGTGGCTTATGGACGACTCAATGATACCATGAAGAGCGGATCGAGCTATACTGCTCGGATAACGAAAAACAGTTACGGAATCAGAAATCTGGACACAAAGTGTTTCCTGTTTTAAGGATATCTCCACACCGAGATCTGGTGCGGCTACACTACGAGGAGATACACTTTGATGTTGTTTCAACGTAATACAACTTAAATACACAAAGGTTCCGACGGGATATTTTCAGCCAGTCTGCACATCTTGAAATGTTTTCCTGGACTGCTACTTTGTGCACAACCAACAAATGGATACAAATTCCTCCAGGATTCAGGGAGGTTAATAAGGAAACTTTCAAATCGGTTGTAGAACCCGTCCGGACTGCTATATGGAAATATACCTTTTGGAATGAACATTTCCTAAAATCAGAGATTCATCCACACTTGATATTTTCAAATATCTCATCCCACATTGACTGCTCGCAATTTATGAGGGGTAATTATAACAAATCTTGCCACGTGTTACATGCTCACCTAGCTGATGCAGGAAAGCCTTCATGAATTGTAAGATTTTAAATGTTTGTCATGTGTGATTTATGTGTTTAAATATTTTTCTACTCAATTAAAACAAATTTATAAAGCTATTACATGTTATAGTATATTAGTTAGCTCTATCCAGGGATTTCCATGTTGCCAAGGGGACCACTTTTTTCTATTTGTTAAGAGTGTATAAATAAAACTGATAAAGGCATGGCTATAAACACAATCTACAAACTACTACATGAAGTACTATACTTCTCCATAACACAAGTGCCTGGTACTACACATGCATTAAAATATTATCACATAAGTTAATATTGATTGGTACTTACCCTCCAGTGTTCTGTAAAAGCCTCCAAAAGTCTATGAATTACAGGTGCTTCCCCTGGTAAACGAAATGCTTCAAGGTAAAGCCTTAATGCTTCATCAATTCTCAGGCCTTGGAATTGAAACGTCCTAGAAAGAAACATCAATTCCATTCCTCTCAATCTGACATTCACATTAAACATTAGTGAACTGTACTTTTCCTTCAATATAATTTAGTTCCACTCCTTCTCCAACTGTCCCTAGATATTTATGACCAACCTAATACATAGACTGACGTGAGATCTGCTCCATTTTCTGTAGAAATGCTTTAGATTACACGTTTTAGTATAACTCCTCCCACTCCCAGCACACCTCAGTTTTGTAACAAAGCAGTGCAGAGAGCAAGGATCATAAACACAGAGGGGTGGGGCTTGTGTCCCTCAATGATCTTTAAGAAGATGCGAGTACAAAAATCCAATTTTCTTTCTCGTTCATCGAGATACAAGGGATTCAAAGACAACTGGGACGTCCAAACTGAGGGGTGGGCGACATAGCAAACAAAAATGCTAACAGGCCCGTTGTAAACAGCGGAGAACTGGGAACTGCCTGAAGCTCAAAAAGCTGCCATAAGGACCTTTCACCCAAAGCTGGCATCAGATTAGGCCTGAACATCCACCTGTGTGCACAGAAGAGCAGGTAGCAACTTTGCAAATCTGGTAAACAGTTGCCCAATGCCGAAAAGGGGTAAGTAACACCGATAGACCTAGAGTGTGAACTGATCCTTAAGAACATATGCTTGAATCTGAGCGACCAAGAAATGGTGAAACGAGAATCTGTTTCTCCTACTTATCACAAATGATAAAAAGAGAGCCAGCCTCTCTAATGGAAGCAGTGGCTGCAAAGTAGACATACGCAGCTCCAACTATATCCAGACAATGAAGGGAAATCTGCATCTGATTTACTGGTGCCGGGCAGAGGGACAAAAGTACAACGTCCTGGTTGAGGTGAAAGGTCAATACTACCTTAGGAATGAAGGAGGCTCTAGACCTTTATACCACATTGTTCTTATGCAAGACCAGAGTTTTTCAGCAGGTGGCATAGGTTTCTTTTGCTGGGGTAGAGGAGTACTCTAACACAAAGTGAGGATATCCGAGGCAGCTTGGAAGAGAGGTTCCTCAAAGTGCATGTCCAGCAAATGCTTCTTACATAGCAGCTCGGCAGCCCAATATTTCATTCAAAGTGTTCTCTCTATGTTCTTTTAAATGTAGACTCATATGGGAAATAACAAAAGGAGACCTATTAACAAGGTAGTGCAGGGCTGCCGGTGTTAGGTCCTTAAAAAGAAACAATGCAGGCAACCCTGGAGCTATACCGTGTTTCCCCGAAAGACCTACCCCGAAAATAAGACCTAGCACTATCTTCAGGGATTTCTGTAATATAAGACCTACCCCGAAAATAAGACCTAGTTCGGTGGTAGGTCTTATATTACAGAAATCCGCTAGGTCTTACTTTCGGGGGAACTGCACATAAACTGTGTAAAGACCGGCCGCAGCTCCCGCCCCGCCCACACGCCCGCCCACAAGCGAGCCTACAGCAGTTCCAGCCCCAATCGTGAGCAGGATGGATTCTATACAGTGGGGCTGCTCGAACTGTGCTTGGGATCTGACATGTTGCACCTCCCGCAGGGACAACTTGGCTTAATACAAGCTATAACTTTGGGTACTCAGAAACCAGCTACTGGAAGACGTTCAAATAGTTGGAGATGACTAAGTCCCTCTAGGTTGCAGCAAGGATTAACAGAGGTGAAACCATGTGTCTTTTGTGATAAGGACCCAGTGCAGGAAGATGGGAAGGTGCTAACTCACTGTGAATGGTGAAAATAAGAGTGCGGAGTGGACAGGTGCGACCCCACTTAGTTACTCAGCATTCAGTCTCTCAGCATTACAGCCTCTTCAATGGAGAACCAACAGAAAAATAGGAGTAATAATGGCACTGAACGTTTCTACAAAGCTGAACCTTATTCAGCTCTGTGCACAAAAAGGAACATGTTGGAACATTTCCCTTAAAAACTGAGCTCTATTTTGAATTCATTGTATCTAATTTCTAGAGACTCTAATGACTGGCATGGTACCAATGGATTGCCCAAGGCCAATGTGGTACCTATATTTAAAAAGGGATCAAAGTCTTTACCAAGTAACTACAGACCTGCAAGACTAACTTTCATAGCTGGGAAGATACTTTAGACCAGGGGTGCCCACAAGGTTGATCGCGACCTACCAGTCGATCGCGTAGAGATCACTGGTAGATCAAAATGTCCTCTCCTCCCACCGGTGGGGCTTCTCTGGATCCCCGCTGCTCTACCCATCTGTATGCAGTGGGGATCCGAGAAGAAGGAAAGGAACCGCTGCAGCCGGCGGCGAGGGGGGGCAGAGGAGGGAGCAGCTGTCACAGAACTAAGGCCGAGTGGGGAGGAGAGAGAGAGAGAGAGAAAGAGAGAGAGAGAGAGAGAGAGAGAGAGAGAAACGCTCGGCTAAACTAATGTGCCTGGGTTTCCGGGTGCAGGCGATTGCACCGTGGGCGGGGGGCCTGCCTGCGGTGCCTGGCTGATTTCAATGCACCGCCACGCCCCCTCCCGCCCCTGAATGCAGGTGTTTTTCGTTGGTAGATCTCATTGAGCTCGTCATTTGAAAAAAATTGTGGGCGCCCGTGCTTTAGAGTTTGATAAAGGATCACAGATACATGTTTTTGCTAGAAAATAATATAATAAGGTGAAAGACAGCATGGATTCACAAAAGACCAAAGTTATCAAACCAATGTATTTTCTTTTTATGATCAAGTAAGCAATAAACAAATAAACAAATGGGTGTCTGTGGATATAGTATACTTGGACTTTGCAAAAGTACTTGATACAATTCCCCACAGACAGTTAATATGCAAGTTAACCCTTTCACTGCCAAGACCTTGGGTATACCTATTTTAACAACCTGTGGACTCTCTAAGAGAGGTATCCCTAGTGTCTCAGGGGACCGGAGGTGAAGGGAAATCTCCCCAATGGGGGCAGAGATAAAAACAGGAAAAAAAACAACCTGATTGAGTCTTAACCATTCACTTACTCTATCCAAAACTAAAAACAAAGCCTTTGGTTTTATAATACAGTTTTTGGATTTACACAATGTATACACGATTTTGTAAAGTGTAAGAGGGCAATTAGATAGAATAAGATTGCAAGTAGGGTTCTTCCATGCATTCCTTTAGGTTGGAAAACAACCTGTTAAGACTTATTGGACTCACCCCACAAAGCTCTCAAGCAAATCAAGGTTCTTGCGATCGCTCACAAATTCCCCGATCATCTTTTTGTCCAATCTGGGGTTCTCCCTGAGCCATTGAGCCACTTCATTATTATCCATTGGTGTAGTCAAGAGATTCTTTTCCTGAAGAAATTGGATCCCTTTCTTTGGCTTTTGATTAAACTGCTCTGTTCCAGTTATGAGGAGCTGGGAATAACGCAGCATAATTAAAATTCTAATTACATGATGTGGAAAGATTTTGTTAACAAGTTATAAACATTTAGAATTTGTAAACAAACACACGAAGTTTAGACACATTTAGGATTTATATACCTTTTTCTTGTTTTTTATATCGTTCAGTTCTTGCACAGTTGGAAGTAAAGAAGAAAAGCGTACTGGTATTCCCTGGGTCTTCTTATCAGCTAGAAAACCAATTAAATATAAAAAAGTATTTTAAATAATATACTATTTTTCCAGCCAGAGCCTTCTAAAACTCCTGCATTTTAAATTGTCTACACTGCTTTCAATATAAGCATGTTTGCTGGTACTAAAAAAAAAACTACCATGATTTTCACCAATTATTTTTGTTTATATACGTGTCTTTTAAACATTTTTTAGGTAAACAACATAGGGTGCTTCTTTTTTGATTTGTGTGGGCTTTTTCATAAGAAAGCTCAGCACTGTCTGCTTTTGTGCTATTGAAAACTAATAAACTTCTATATGATATGATCTAACAAGAGGGAGGGGTATGTGTTCATCTTGTGACTCAAAGCTGGGCGTTAAGAATCAACCAGAACACAGGCTATTCACAATGACAGGGCAGCAGTGAAGTCAGTTTGGTAAAGTGCTTCCCTTCTAAGGAAATAATAAACCTAATAGACCGTAATGGTCTCAAAAACTACTGTATAGTGTGTATGTACATGTATAAGGTATATTTAGGTTTTTAATAACTATTTTACATTTTATTTGTTTTTTGTTTTTATATACAAACAAATTATTTTGTGTAATAGATCTTTCACGGGTTCTATATTCAAAGTCCCCTGTTTCTTCTCAATACTATTTAGGTAAAGGGTAGTAGCACCTTAAGTTTGTAAAACTGATTTGACTACATTTACCCCCCTTTTATTAAGTTTAAAAAAAATACTTTTAGTAATTTTAATATATAAAAGCAAGAAGCGATGACCAAAAATCAGTAAAAACAACATTCACTTTAACCACTTTACTACCGCTGTGTGTTTTAAAACAGTGAAGTGGCTGACGTGGTGTTCTGCAGCGCTGATTTAAAACGGCGCTATGTATATAAATATACAAATATAAAGACAGATATTTGAGAGCCCTCTCACAAGGGGTGGAAGGAGTATTTATGAACAAAGCAGAAGCAATTAGGCAGCAGCAGATTCAAGGTGGGGGAGGGGTTAAATAATTTATGGGATTGCTTCTCTTTTTACCCCCCACCCTCTCTTCCCCAGGGGTATGTAGAGGTTGGTACCCAAGTAGTTAAACTGCTGTCTAATTTTTGGTTAAAGATTTGTTATCCTGACTTCCTTATTCTACATACTAATTTGTCCACTTCTGCTGCAATAGGCCACTGATATTTCACCAGAATTAAAATAAGAAATACATTATTAAAAAAATATGCGTGTTCAATTCTTTTAAAATTAAGGGCTGAATAAGATATTTCACAAAAGACACATTTGCTATCTCATATAAGGAAAAGAACTTGAGTGTTAATTGGCCAAAAGACCTGCTAAGTGGCAGCTTTTATTTAATTCCTTTAAAGTTAATGCATTCATTGGATTTTGAATATAAAATAAGTAAAACTTTTACTATTTACTTGTATAATAAATAAATAAGCAATTGTAAGTAGATCAAATGATCGTTATGTACATGGCAAAAAGTCTTCTAGAGAATGTATTCAGCAATGTTTAAAAAAGTGTTAAGATAGCTAACCACTACTACAGCCACCTTCGGCCTCCTGAATTCCAAGACTCATTTTGTCTGCCATTAAATGCCCACTGGTGGGAGGATGGGCCCCCTTGGATTCTGCACTTGTGATTGATGCGGTGCCTTCCATAACACATTCACTGCCTTAAATAAAAAATAATTAAAATACTATTAAACCAAAACCAAGAAAATACAATAATAAATAAACAGGAAAGTGCACTCCCAAGATATGAAACAAAGTTAACATTAAAGGGCAATTCCATACTTCAGATTAGGTTTCGCGTTACATCCACATGTAGGATTTAATATGAAACATGGTCACAGTCCACAGCCCCCCCAAACCACATTGCTCGCCCATACTGTAGGGTGCTTCTCCCCAACAGGATCTTGTCTATTTCGATCACCATTCATTCACAGAATCTGAGCAAAAAAAAAAAAAAATCATGTTTGCAATCTTGGCAGAGGGAGTCACAGATCTCAAAGGACTACAAATGTGGTGACGTCACTGCACTTGCAGTCCATTGAGAACTTCCTCCAGCCCCATAACTGAAAAGAAGTCGTCTACAGGAGCCTGGGATTTGCATCTGGGATCCAATGCTTTGCAGGCTCCTTTGAAAAAATTATTAAATGCACATTTATTTTTAATCAATGTGGGTGTATTTATGATTTTTTTTTTTCAAAAGGTGTAAACAGCCTTTAAAATAATGCAAAACATACCATTCGACTCCGAAGATCCCTCTGCATTATCTGCAGTGGTTTTGCCTGTCTCTTTCTTATCCTGTTGCAAAGTGTTACTCAGAATCTTAGCCTGGCAATGTGCTTCTGTGCTGTCAATGACAGTTAGTAAAGCTTCCAGTGAAAGTAGGTGAGTTGTATAGAGTTGGCCAGATACTGGAAAGGCATTCTGGGAGAGAAAAAAAATCACTTGACATATCAAAACAAAATAGGAACACAATATAAACTGTTTTCCATAGCTATATATTTAAATGTGTATCAAGTAAAACAGGATTTTATCCTACCTATAAAATACTTTTCTTGAAGTACATTACAGGACAGAGGATGGTATTCAGAACCCCTGGTTATGATGTCAGCTTCAGGAGATTTGGACACTGGCAACCAAAGGACTGGCCAGTATAGCCCCTCCATCTACCAGCATGCAAGCAATAGTAAACTAGGGTATACACGGTTAGACCTTGGAACAAGCAAAATCAATTTCAAAACATTTTTTCACATTTCTAATCGTTGATGAGGTTAAAACAGATGATCGATTTTGACCGCAGTGACAAAAAATTAAAAATGAGCATGTCGGAAAATTTTTCTCGATCGAACGAAATTCTAACAGTGAATGTGGTTTTCATTCGGGAAAACTCCATTCATTCCAAAATGAAATGTTAAATCAAAACGATTTAGATTCAGGATTGAGGACATATGCTCGGACCACACAGATGGATATAATCACCACAGCAGATTGTATAGTAGGGTACATGAGAAACAATAAGGCCTGAGAAGGACTTCAAGTCTTTTTATACACTATGTCATTAAGCACGGGGATGACCTCAACAGGGACAGTCAGAGGCTTATTAACCAGTTGACATCCGCGGTGTTAAACCCCCTTCCCATCCAGGCCATTTTTCACAACAGGGACAGGCCACTGCATTAGGAATCCTCCTCTGCTGAGAGAAAAGTTAGGAGGTCCAAGGACATTTCCAGGATTAGGCTCATCCCTAAAGAGTGCCAGATACAATAGGGAATGCACAGAGAAAAAGTCTTAACAGATTGAGGGTTCTATAGAGAACTCAGGCAGCACCAATTTGTAATGTGCAAACCAGGATGGTATCGGAAATGTGGGAGTAGCAACTACCAGAGGGAATCAGAGATGGACCTCTAACAGGGAGGGTATGAAATCATGTGTGTGGCCCCTGAATTTCGGTGTCAGGCGCAGACTTCATAAGGGTGCCCCAGTCCATGAGATAATAGAGTGGAGGCAACACAATAAATGTCGCCATGATCTGAAAGGGTCACAGTTGGCCTAACTGTTTTAACCCCTTAGGGGGATGCAAAGTAAAAGCAACCACCCAGACTCCCAATTAAAGAGCAAATGCCCTGACTCACTGTTGTGGTCTGGCCATCTTGCGGCCCCCACCACATAGAAAAATGACAGTAGGCAGGATCCAGGGGACATTCCCCATCCACACAGTCTTCGCCCTGCAGATAACTCAATGCACTGCACCACATGCCGAGGTAAGAGCCTATTGCGGTCCAGTGCCTGAAGCATCAATACAGGCCAGTCTGAATCTTCTCTCTGACAGGGTTCAGGTATGGTCCCCACCCAGCTCACAGCTGCAAAAAAGAGGCTATGTAGCAGCTGACAAATTTTGTTAGAAGATCTTGGTAAATGTAACAAAAGAAAAAAAAATATAAGTGGCTTGCTTCGATCAGAGCAGAGAAAAGACAGCAGCAAGGCATTCTGGGAGTGGGAGGGGTTATACAGGGCAGTCTTTACAGCTTTGGTTGCCAATGTCCAAATCTCACAAGAGTGCCAGCACAATCCTTGGTTTCCAAATACTCTTTAGTCTCCTGTAATCTAAGAAAACATAATAAGCTATAGAGCAGATTGTAAACGATGTATGAGACCATTACACACAGTACTTGTTTCTTTAAGAAGTACCCCCTACAACTTGAGATATAGGAACTAAACAATACCCTTTACATGAACAACATATGTCATCACCCCAAACCACACACACTAGATTCATTGGGAACTACTATTATTTTAGGTATTTATTATTCAGCAATAAAGATGGCTATGCTTACCTTAGAGAGCAGCTTGGTAAGATCCTCAAAGATGTTGGAGCAGTAAAAATCACAGTCGTAATTTATGTATAGCTCTGTTACAAAGCTGGGTATCCTCCAGAGCTGTACAATACCTTCCAGCGCCATCTCTTTAATTTCATATGGCATCTTTGGATTCTCCATAGTAATGATATCCATCAATTTTTTAATGTACATCTACAAAATCAGTTGGTAAAACCAGTTACATTTCACATACTACCTTACTGGAAGTGCATATTGATACCATAGCTACATATGATAGATTGTTTTCTCATAGCAACAAAAAGGCCCTTTTGTACGCAAAATGATGTTACTTAGTAATGTTGACTCATGAGAACTGTGCATTTAATTGATAATCACACATTTTAAGGGAAAAATCTTACCTCCAGCTGAAATTTTAGATGTTCTCTCATGCTTTCAAAGAGAAGGAAGCAAGCTCGCAAGGAAGATGCATACAAGTTTAATCGTTCTGCATTTAACAGCTGAAAAGAAGGGCATACATTTATTGAGAGAAAATGTTAAGTCTTTGAAAAATTACTATATTTTATGCCAAACGTTACTTTCAGATGCAGTTAAAACCAATATTTCTGTAAATAACCCCTAAGAAATTCCCTACTCCCCTCCTAACTACAAAAAATAGCTGTACTGGAGCACCTATATACATTATATTAGTGTGTATACTTAAGCAATTCAATTTTTCTACAGTTTTATTTCCTACCAAACAAAAGGGGATCCTTCTTAAAGAGATCAGCTGCAATCTCTAGAAAAAGAAGGTCTACAATAACAGATAATTTGATGAATAATTTGCAGTCAAAAGACTCCAGTTGGCAAATACCTTCATTCAGAAAGGACTTGCAAAGTTTTTACGGAATACGGATTTTACTCAACACACCTCGTGTAAGGAGGTTTATCAAGTGCTACCTGGCAGCTTAACCTGTCAATAACAGGGGGCGCAGCAGGCATGCATATATCCGCTTACTGGCAGTTCTATTAACTGCCAACAGTCTGTTAAGGCCAAGAGTAGATCTATGTTCTGGTCTATTAACATACTGCTTACTACAATGTAGACTTTCTGCCTGTGAACATTAAAGGGCTCATAAATAAGCAAAGACCATTTGCAAAGGGGTATATGACACTTTTATATATAGTATATATTTAATTCTACTGCTGTTTGTCATCTTTTAGGCATTGTATGAAACACTAGGTGCTACCTGAAATAAATGTCGACAGAGTTCATCTTTCATCAGCCCGAGAAGCGAGGTATAATTTGCTATGGGAGCAGACTCCAATGCCACTGTGATCAGCTGTAAACCCATGTGCATCATCACTTCAGAATTATGGCGATCATGAGGGTTGGTAAGTGAAATTAGAAAGCGAAAAAGTTCACGAATACAAGGTAATCCGTAAGGGACCAAAACCACTCCTAGAAAAACAAAATGTAATGGTAAGCAAATGCAACATACACAGCAATTTGTATAGCTCTGATTTTGGTGCTATGGTTTACATTCAGTTAATAACTGCCAACTTTTATCAGGAAAGCCTCAGGGCATTTTAAAATCAACAATCAAAGGAAGGCTTGCTCATAGCTCTTCAGTATCTAAAAATAAAATAACTAAAATTACTAAATGCTATATGTCCAATTGAAGACCTCTCACCTTCTTTCTGTGAAGACTGCGTGAACCTAACTCCACGAGGGTTGACATAGTCCATATCGTGCACAGAGGCAGAGTCTGAATGTTCAGCCAGTGATGAACTATCTTCTAGAACTTCTGGAATGGATTCAACAGAGGCAGATTGTGTCTTTCTTCCTAGTAATTCTTCAGTCTTTACAGAACAGAAAAATGGTTACAATGGTTATGAAGCAAAGACTGGAACACCATCATGTCATTTAAATGTACATAAGTATAACTTTTTTAATTGAATATAAACATTAATTTGAAAAAATACATCTGTATATTTCTACGAGATGATGAAATTAGCATCAAAATGGACTGGAATCAGAATGGATATTTATTTCATAGATATTCAGGCATCAGAAATGGATAACATCCCATAGATCCTGAGGCCCCGTTCACACCAGGGCGGTTCGGTTGCGCAGATTTGTCAGCGATGAACCGCTGACATTCATTCTTTTGGGGAACGTTCATGCGATCATGCGTCTCTGCGCGATCTGAACCACCTGCCGCCCAAAATGCTCCCTGAGCTATTTTTTCATGCTAATCATCGCAAATTCCATATAGATTTCAATGGAAACACGCTGATTAGCACATTTTTGGGCATTTTTTATTGCGTTTCAGCGCTGAAGCGTGATTAAAAACGGCCAAAAACACCCTTTTAGAAACCGCGCTGAAACGCCTCCCCTCTGGTGTGAATGAGCCCTTAAGGGTAAGAAGGGAAGGATTTGAAAACTGTCACACACTAAGGTTTCCGTCCCTAGACTCCTTCTTCTTGGATTCCAAACAACTAATATTTGTGATTTTGGGGGAGAGGGATGAGAGTTACACAGATTTTGTATAAGACTCAAATATACTTTTTCTGACAAAGAAATAAATGGACTTTGCACAGAATACATCTCACAAAGGAAGCATGACAAACTAAAGCTGGCCATACGATATGCAAATTTCTGGTGGTTCTTCAGGAAATAGCCAAAATTCACACAGTGGGCACCCTTTCCGGCCGTCATCCCTCAATCAGCTAATCGAAGGAGCCAGTTGGAAAATCTTTGTACGAACTGTGCTGGCAGCCAATAAGCTGCCAGCACCGTTTGTGTATTCCAACAAGCCAAAGAAAAAGTGTTGGAGGAATCGGTTCAATTTTTTTTTTTTGTTCAATCCGTGGGCTGAATGAATAAAATAGAACAGTGTATGGCTAGCCAAAGATATAATCCTCCAACTTGGAATGGAATTTTACACTATCCCTGTACATTTGTCTTAGACCCAAGTTTAAAAAACGATCCTAACTAAATAAGGCTGCTGAACAGCAAAACAAAATCCACTATCACCATCAGATGCATAAAATAAAATAGTATGACAGTGTTTTAAATATGTAAAAACCGAATATAAAACAAATCTACAGAGTAATTAAACTACTACCTTCTGGTCATCGGGGTTTGGCTGTTCAGACAGATACAGGTCTCCAGATGAATGTAGTGTGGCAGCAATATTTGCACCATCTATCTCAGAAAGATCCTCTTTAGAAGTAGCCTGGGAGGATAATCCAAGTGCACTGTCAGTCACAGGGCTGACAGCAGATGATGTGGCTTCTGAACTTCCAACTGAGACAGGAGAGGTAGCATCTAGGGAGGACGCCTCAATAAAAGGAATACCAGCTAAAAAGAAAAGTTACAAATATATATAACTTTGTAGAACGAGATCACGTAGCTGAACTACAGACAAGAAAGCTTAATACATAAAAGTGAAAAGTCTTAACCAGGAAAAAAAAAAAATTCTGTTAAGCCAGTCTAGCACACAGATAGCATAACCAGGTCCTGAACCTCTAAAGCTGCCCATACACCCCACAACCATCGCACGACTTTTGAGATCACGACCATATTGCTAGTGTTTGATTACCAGCACTGCAGGAGAGCTTGGCTGGGCCCTAGTGCTGCCCTTCAATTTCTCAGTGGAAGCACTGATTGATTGCAGTAACAATACACACAATCATTACAAACCCCTAAGTAACATTTAAAGTAAATTTCAGCTATTTCGGGTAGAGCGGGTGGGGGTTAGAGAGTCCAAGCCAGCTTTTCTTTATTTCCAGGTGTTCCCACTAAGAAAATCCCATCCTGTCTAAGAAACCCCACAGAAAGTTAGGGGAATATTCCCAAAGAGGTCAACTACAATAAAAACCAATAACTAAATACTTCTCCACTTCCCACTCCATCAAATACTAACATTTAGCTGGAGTTCGACTTAAAGCTGAACTCCGGATTGGAAAAAAGAAAACCTCTTTTTTGCTTGTATAGTAAAGAAAGCTGAAGAAAACATTCAAAATGAATGGCACAGCACCTTAGGCAAATCCCTAATTACTTACCTACTTACAGCACAGCATGGGGGGGGGACCTTTAATGTCCGGGAGACAAAGTGACCACTCTTTTACAGCCCCTTTTTTTAAAACTCAGCATAAGGTGAAAGGGAATAGGTAAAATTATAGTTATGCTTTGGGGGGTCAAGTGTTTAGTTAGGAGGATACATTAGGGATTACGATTACAGGTACTTTTAACAGGTAAAGCCGCACATTACAAAAAATTTTTGCTCCAAATTGCTGAATGAAAAGTGGCTAAAAATGAACATATAATAAGAGTTTAAGACCGGAGGGAAGGGCTAAGAATTGGTGAAGCCACTCTTTTTTTTTTTTTTCAATTACCCGTGTTTGTTGAAGATCCATTAGTTAAAGGCTGTTGTGATTCAACTCCACTCATTGCTTTGGTTAAATGGCGAGGAGGTCGTGGAGATCGCTTCTGTTTCTTCCATTTTGAGGACTCACTGGTACCACCAGCTCTCATCTTCAACTGTCAAGAAAACATGTCCCAAACATGTCAAAGTGGCAGAGTACAACAGTAAGAGAAAACTGAGGTGTTACCAAGTTTTTATTTAGCATTTTAATGTTTTAGGCCCAATTTAAAACAGTGTTTTTTCCACTACCCATGCTGCACAATACAACACAGGATAACTAAAATAAAATTACAACAAAGGATAGTATTAGTATAGAAACCATCTAGGTCCTTTGCAGGAACATTTACAAAAACATTTTGTCTATTTCTGGATTCTGAACCATTAATGATTCTTTAAAAAGCCTGAATTAGTCCTAAACGGCCTTGAGAAAAGGGTAAGCACTATAATATTACACTAAATATATTACACAGGAACCTACCACTTGCAAGAGTCCCCCTTCATGACCTCAGACTAAGTCCAAATGTAAAATGCTGCCTGCCCTGAGAATGTTCATTAACCTTGTAGCAGAGAACTAGGAATGGGCAACTGTGTATATTTCTAGATATAGCCCAATATTACAAAACCACTTATATACAACTTTTTTTTTTTCAAGCTGCACGCAACTTTTAATATATAGCATTCAAATATTAAGTTGTGATTTAGATTAACTACCTCCGGGCCGGCCGTAGTAAAAAAACCGGCCGGCCGGGAGCGCTCTAGATCTGAGCGGGCGTCTTTAGACGTCCGCTCAGACACGGCCCCAGCGGCGTGCACGAGCGGGCAATGCCCGATATTTAAAAACAGGCAGTGATGCCTGTTAACATACAAGTGATCCGCCGGCGGATCGCTTGTATGGGGTGACGATCGGTGCCCCCCCCTCCCTCCGCATCTTATGTCACTCTTGTGGAGCAGATCTGTGCTTCATCAGCTTCTTTTGGGGGTCCTAGGGGACATTAGGGGTCTTGGAGACCCCTGATGTCTCCATAAAGAGGACCTATTTTGCTATCACATAGGGTGGTTTTATTAGCCCCCGTATGTGATAGCAATAAAGTTTAGTGGAAAAGAAAAATAGGGGAAAAAACTTAAAGCCCCCCAAAAAATGTAAAGTAACACATTAAAAAATGTTTTAGTTTTTTTATTCTTTTTTAAGTCCCCACCCATACCTACACGCATGCAAACATGCGTCGGGCGCGCATAGGTGCAAAAAAAGACGATTGCGCCCATTACGCCACACGTTACATATCGCCGCAAACGTTGGAGTGAGAGCAATAATTCTAGGGCCATCTATCACTGATAACACTAAACTGATGAGCGGTAAAAGCTTTTAAAGTGTCGCCTATGGCCAATTTTGGGTATGGTAGTTTTCTGCGATTTCGCGGGAGCGAGGAATAAAATGATATGCAGTGGGGAAAATAATTATTTGATCCCCTGCAGATTTTTGTTACTTTCTGGGGGTGATGAGAGTTGCTCCTGTCCCCCTGGTGTTAGGTCTCTCCATGATACTTGACCCCTAGGTAAGTGGCTGTACAATTCAATTGTACTAAAAGTAAATGTATAAAGCTGAATGGAAACATTGAAAACTGGAAAATATGATTTACAAATGGATTATGAAATGGCATATAAACATGTTGATGAACAATGTATCATGTATTTACAAATAGATTTATACCGATCCCCCTGAAGAAGCCTACGAGCGTAACGCGTAGGGGACTAACAAAGCAATACAATACTGCATACGAAAATCAAGGAATTATGAATATACATAGTGAAATATGAATTATGAATTGTATATAAAATATTATGAAATGTGAAAAGAAGTAATAATTTTAGGGTTATAAGAATCATGTATATATATGAGCATTGTTTTTAATATTTATAATTACAGGTATTCCTCACTTAACGACCGAGTTCCGTTCCTACGACCAGGTCGTTAAACGAATTGGTCGTTAAGTGAGGAACTCTATACAGTACTGTACTGCATTAGTACAGTACTGTATAGCGTTGCCGATGTACAGTACTGAACAGTGTACTGTACATCGGGCAATGAAAATACTCACGGGGACGCGCTGTGAAGAACGGAGGACGTCACTTCCCCCGGCGACACGTCGCACTGGCGCTGACGCGCGAGGTCGGAGGTCGCTCGGAGGACGGTCGTAAGTGCGAGTGGTCGCAAAACAGGTAAGTCGTTAAGCGAGGAGTATCTGTATTCAATAAATCTTTTAGATGAACATCAACAAATTTGTACGAAGTATAACTATATGAGTACCCTCAAAAAAAAACCCCTGCACAACCTGGGTTGTATAATGTGTAGATTTTGTAAGTTTGCACACTTGCAAAGCGTGACAATGACCCAAAACATACCACCAAGGCAACAAAGCAGTGGCTTAAGAAGAAGCACATTAAGGTAATGGAGTGGCCTAGCCAGTCTCCAGACCGTAATCCTATAGAAAAGTTATGGAGGGAACTGAAACTTAGTTGCCAAGCGACAGCCAAGAAACCTTAAAGGAGAACTATGGGGTCAGTGTTTTTCCCCATATTTCTCCTTAGGGTAACGGGAGGACGCTAGTTTGTGTCCTCCCGTTACCCTAAGCTCAGTATACCGCGAGCTACAGCTCGCGGTATACTGAGCTTAGGGTAACGGGAGGACGCTAGTTTGTGTCCTCCCGTTACCCTAAGCTCAGTATACCGCGAGCTACAGCTCGCGGTATACTGAGCTTAGGGTAACGGGAGGACGCTAGTTTGTGTCCTCCCGTTACCCTAAGCTCAGTATACCGCGAGCTACAGCTCGCGGTATACTGAGCTTAGGGTAACGGGAGGACGCTAGTTTGTGTCCTCCCGTTACCCTAAGGAGAAATATGGGGAAAAACACTGACCCCATAGTTCTCCTTTAAGGATTTAGAGAAGAAAAATCCCTCTTGAGATGTGTGCAAACCTGGTAACCAACTACAAGAAACGTCTTACCTCTGTGCTTGCCAACAAGGGTTTTCCACCAAGTACCAAGTCATGTTTTGCTTTGGGATCAAAAACTTATTTTACTCACTGAACTGCAACTCAATTTATAACATTTGTATCAAGTATTTTTTTTGGATTTTTGGTTGATATTCTGTCTCTATCATTTAAAATACACCTATGATAAAATTATAAGCCTTTCATTTCTTTGTAAGTGGGCAACTTACAAAATCTGCAGGGGATCAAATAACTATTTTCCTTACTGTATGCTCCTCTCATGTTGGTCTCACCAACAGTTAATAAATTAATACAATTGCATAGTACACAGCAAACATACCCATCTCTTGCTTAACTGCACAAAATGGGGCATATGGCCACCCCCAACTGTATGTGATATAATAAACCCCAGGCAATTTCATGCACTTAATTTTTGGTTGTCAGATTGTATCTGACTTCTGGCAGTAATTTATTACTGTGCTTACTACCTTATCACAACTCCCTCTTCCACAGATATTTGGTATTCTAGATGAAGACTATTGGCCACTTCATACTAGAATATCCTTGTAACAAGCTGTGTCTATGGCAAACAAAGCCAGGAGGTAATAAATGCATAAGTCCATTCTCCCATTCTCCCCCTACTACAGCCCAGTGGAAGTCATTGGTTTATCAGATTATCCCTTATGAAAATATCTATGGGAATAGTTACTGTCATTTCAAATTCCATAAAATTTGGGACCTATGGTGAAATTCTACTCTCACTTTAAGTTCGAGTAACCTCCCCAGCCCTAAAGTTATAACTACTTCACTCAGTATATGTGAACCTCTTAGCAATATATTTTAAAATGTATGTATGTATGTAACAAAAGTGCAGGAGAGATTGTCACAGTTCCAGATCCATGTTTTTTAAACATATTTGCCCTTTTATATATATTTATGTATTACTGAGTTCAGTAAAAGATATTAGGCTGTGCACAGTTGGTCAGGAAGAAACTAATAACTTGCATAAATCTTCCCAGGCCTAAATTGCTTCAAAAGTAACAACTTTTGCAGGCAACCTGTGGAGCTTGCAAATACCTGTGTTAGTCTGCCAATTAATAATCCCCATAATAGATTCTAAATTAATCCCTGTGCAACGTCCTAAGCAAAGGCTGACAATGGGGACCTCCAATTATGCCAAAATCCAGCCCCCTGCTGGCTATAAGCTTTCCCTGTCTTTCAGAACTTCAGCAGGACTATAGGCTGTGTTAGTGGACAGAGGAATGACTGGGTATGAAGCTTAGTTTAACCTGGCCAGAAGTTGGGGCCTATATGTAGCCCATTAACTGTTATAACATATGTCTCTGTTCCAACGATCCTCTGCTGTAAAGGTCCAGCAAATACTGCAGCAAGATAGTAGTAGAAAGCCCTCACTGTGAAACCATCAGCGCAAAGGAGCTCAGTAGAAGAGATAAAACATTGCATTCAAAAATTTCACTGTGAAAAGTACTCTCACTTCTGAGTTTTACTCACAATTTAAAGCCCGACTCAGACACCAGAAAAAAAAAAATACCCCTGCAGTGGTGCCTCCCCTCAGTGCAAGGTTTAAATATATGTTAGGGACCTATGGTGAAATTCTAATGGGGGAAGGATACCTTACCAGCATCCTTCCCCCATTATAATGTCATCCCATACAATGCAGGGCCACTAGCCTACATTGTACCTTAGGACAGCAAAGGCCTGCCCAAAAACCAAAGGGTGAAGAGATGAGGAAAGCGCCACCAGCCTGGGTAGTGAGGAATAAATATTACAGCCTTTTTTTGCTAGCTCCTAGATGTAACAAGCATTTTTCCCCCCCAGAGTACAGTTTAAAAAACACCTGAAAATGGAATTACAACAAAGGCTTCACTAGGAAAAGAACTTTCAAGGAAAGAACAGATTCCTTGGCCCCTAAATATGTTTGCGGTCATCAATTGTGGCCTTAAAAACTCCATAAAAAAAATTGTCCTTTGATGGTTTTAAGCGTCCATGTAACGAGCTGTGCACCGGCGCCTGGTGTCGGGACTGCCGGGATCCTAGCTACCAATGATGTGGACCTGAAAAGCCACATATGCAGATGGTAGGAATCGCTCCTGCATCTTGGTAGCAGAAG